CTTAATATGAAGAAAAACAAACCAGATATAGACTTATATGCTTTTTTAAAAATAAAAAACAAATTAACTTAATCAAATTTTAAAAATCAGATTAAAACAATAAAAGAACAGGATGCGAAGGGTATTTTCTCTCCCTCTTTAAGATGGTCGTTCGACTTTAGAGTTTGCCTACGTTCTTCTCAAAGACAATTCACCACGATCGTTCTTGGAATATCCCGCTCCTCTTATAAACATAACCCATCCCCCATAATCGCAGTAAAGCGAGAGTATAAGTAATTAAGATGTGAGAGAGCAAGAAAGAAAGAATACACGTTTTTTCCTTAATATGAGCAGAATATAGTAATTAACGTATCCTATTTTTTTTTTAAATTGCGCTTATCAATCTATCGAATAATTCTACAAATCACTAAGTATGTAAATCAACTAAGCATGTTAATAAATGCTTTATTCGTTCATGTTTCTGATTGGCATTTTGCGTTTTTAAAATGATCAGATGATTCTTGAACAAGTTTCGAGAGAACTATGATATCGATGTATTAATTTTGTTATATATGTATGTCACAGTCAATGTCTACATTTATTGGTCAACGTATACGTTTACGTACTGTAATTGTATACATTTATTACAGCAGATTACAAGGATACATTTACTGAGTTAACACTTCGGCTGTGACATACGTATATAAAAAATTAAAACGCGACAATTGAATCAGAGTTTCGATGACGCTCAATGCTTTCTGCGAACATTTTACGAAAAAAATTATTAAAGATCCAAAAATGTCTTTATGTATTATTGGTATAAAGAAATGACTTCTTTATAAATTTTAAATATTCTGTAAACTTTATCGCATTATATTGTTACAAATATCAATAATAATTAACTTAAATGAGAATTTAAATCTACGTATAAAGAATCTGAGATTTCATTACCGAAATAAAATCTCTTTCATCTTCTATTATCACATATTTAAAGCAATTTTTTTGCATCTTTTTCTTTTAAATTAATAAACTTTAAAAAGATTCATAATTTGCTATATAATTTAATCGATTCGTCATAATTATATTCAACTCTTCAATTGTTGCACAGGGGAAGAATCGTGCGTATGTATGTATGTATATATGTGTGTATGTATGTGTATGTATATACATACATACTGTGATTTATAGGAAAGAAATCAGAATCCGGAAGGACGAGAAAAACGACGGTAAAGAAAAAGAGAGAATTTCATTGACCAGCGAATAACACTCTTTAAAAGAGCAGAAAACGATTATTTCATCTCGGGGGAGAAAAATATTTATCCTTCCTTGGAATTTATTCCTTGAAATCTGTATTATCCTCGGTGTCGAATTTCGTCGAATGGAAAATAAGCAATTTAAGATGTGCAGTTTAAGATGGTAATGATTGAAGGCACGTTTCCCGAGCCGACTGGGGGTGGTATCCGATTATATTCGCGCGAAGGGTAATCGATTTCTAATTTTACATCCGCCACAGGGGATTAATCCTGGTAAGATGAATTTTCGTTCGTCCGGAATGGTACTCACGACACGGAAGCTGTCGTCGGCTCTTTACACCCTCTCTCTCTCTCTCTCTCTCTCTCTCTTTCTCTCTCTCTCTCCCTCTTTCACTCTCTTCTCTCCTCGAGCTGCTTCCTCCTCTGGGCGTTACTCGGCGGCGGCCTCGACTCGGACTGTAACTACTTGCGGACTCGCGCGTACCGCGTATCGTATATCGAACGTGCAACGGATACGGATGGCAATTTTGCGAGCCGGATTTATCTTTCGTCCTCGTATTACAAGCGCATCGCGCTGCGTCGTCCGCGCGGCGACAGCGATAAACGACCGAAAGGGCGAAAATCCTATTCTGTCGTACACCACGACGGTCTCTCGTCGACGACGACGACGGCGACGGCGACGACGACGACGATCACGACGACGACGACGACGACAGTGGGATGGAGAGCCGAGTGCGCCTGACCGGTGGTGGCGAACGCGAATATGGCCGCCGACGTAAATCGATAAAACACGTTACGTTTTCCGGCGGCGTTCCGACGCGCCGCCGCGCCGCCGCGCCGCCGCGCCGCTTGGAGCCGACGCTCTGCGTCGTACCCTCGTCACCCCTCGTCGCCCACACACCCCTGAAGGATTTGAAGCCAGGTTGACGACGACGACGACGACGACGACGACGACGACGAGGGGCGAGTACCGACGACGTCATTAGCGCGCGGACGTAAAACTTCCTCTTTTTTCCTTTTAATATTTATTACCCCCTGTTCCTACAATGACGATGATACAATTATCGCTTGGTGACGTCAGTCTATCAATGATTTTAAACAAAGATTGGTTCATTATTATTAGTTTCTCATCGATACACACACGAGACGATGTATCGGAAAAGGGCAAAGGGCATCCAAATGTCGGAGCATACGGAGACCAATACGCATCTTTCCGTCTTTACAATTTTTTTCACTTGGAACACGCGTTGTACGCAACTGCCCCAAAATTTTCCGCCCGCGATATAGCTATTATTTTTAATTATTTATATAATTTAATTTAATTGCTGTATTAATTATGATTTATTTGTAATCATGAAAAATATTTTATTATCATATATTAATTAGTATTTAAAACCTGAAGATTACGTTAAGAGACTCTGCCATCTCATTGAGAATATATAGAATACATAGAATCAAATTGTGTACATATACGGAAAGTATTTTATGTGCAACAATGCGGTCTTCTTTCGTTTTGTAGAGAATATATCGAGTTTGTTGTTCTGTTCCAAAACAGAAAGAAGCGTAGTCACATTCTATAAAACACGAGACACGTCTCAATGAAGCGCATGCCCGAATCGAACTATCGGAACAGGAATCTTTTGATATATTTTTCTTGATATAAATCTCTCTCTCTCTCCATAAAAATAAAACTGCATTAAAATCAAGTAAACCTTTCACATGTTTTCGCAGGTGCTAAGAATGCAAAAAAAGAGAGTTCGAGAAATAAATGCGAAAGTAGTGCTCAAACAGCTTAATCTTTAAATTCATTATATAGTCAATTTTTACTATTACGCACGCTGAATCTATAAATGACCCATCTTTTGCATTTACGAAATTTATAAAGTGATAAATTCTTGTTGCAATATTAATCCTAATTTAAACTGCAAAATATCTCACAAAACACACACACACACAAATTATTATAGTATTTATTATAAATATATGAATTTAATATATAAAATCTTTGGTATTCAATCTAATAAGTTTTAAACGAAAGAATGTATTACATATAATAATTTCTATCGTTTATAATTTTTATCCAAAAGAAAATGCCATCTTGTTAAAAATGCATCTTACATATATATATATATATATACGAATTCTCAAAATAGCAATTTTGATAACGATGTTCAGAGATATCGATCGCGAGCAAACGCAAATATAATCTAGAACTCGCGTACGAAGAGGCAACGATTCTTTCCGAAAGATGGAACATTGTGATTGTAGGAAAATCGATTTGTAACATTCTTCCAGTCTCTCTCTCTCTCTCTCTCTCTCTCTCAAACATATACCATGTATGCATACACACAACTGAGTAGAGGGTGCTATATAAAGTTTCGTAATATCTATGGAATCCTCTTTACCTGAAATAGCAACGAGTTGAAGAGTATAGTGTGTATACGTATATTTGTCTATAGATAGATCAAAAATTTGCACACGTAGCTCATGTAAAGTTAATTGATACGTTACAATTCTACGATCTTATACTAAAAGTTTCATTGACAAAATAAATATAGAGTATTAATTCTCTATATTTAATATTGGAGCACAATAAAAATAATTATAAAGTTGAATGATGGAACTTTTTAAATGTAATTTTTATTAAAATTTTAATGCAGATACTATACGCTACAATAATTATTACAATAACAAAGTAGAAACAATTAATATTATTGCCATTTTTATATGCAAATGTTAATAATTTTTATTCTCACTAATCAATATTAATCAAATTAAGTATAATATAGTCCGGGAGACACCCCAGAGAACATGCATGTCGGAAAGACATCCAAAAGACGTCTTTAAGACATCTTTCAAACTATGTACATTTTCGAAAGATATTAATTTAGTCTTCATTTGTTATCGCTTGAAACATCCATTATAATTCGTTATTTATTTAACGATCAAGGAAACACGATCAAGGAAACGCAAATATGGCGTGGATTTCTTCATCTCCCATGGTTTTAAAATTGATGACGTGTGATTAAAGTTGTAAAAGAATTTTTTCAATATGTTATTTCCTAACGTTTGTTTCTATTATTTGTAACTATTATTAAGTAATAATAGTTTACGTCAAAAAAAAAACCGGAAGATAGGTGCCATACTGTTTCTGTGAGTGAAAGGGTTGCCAAACTAACAATAAGCTATAATATAAAGTGGTAATGGTCTTTAATCTCACGCAATGTCTTAAGATGCTAATACGACTCTCTGATTAGTTCATAACACTCAAGCAATGTAGCTCAAGACCATCCTGACCATCTCGAATCTTGAGCAACGTCTACATATATGGATTCCGTCCATATAGTGTCATTATCTCCCGGACCGATATACCTTCTGATCAATGTAGACTTCGCAATAAAATATTTACTAACGATAATACAGAAGTACTGTATTATCGATAATCGGTAAATAAGAGCATATGCTATTACCACGTTTTTGTGGTTTTTTTTGCCATTACTATTACTATTATTAGTGAGTTAGACAAGGATGAACAGTCAATTTTGATTATCCGTCATTATTTAACCCACGTAATAATATCAAAGAGGACCACAAAAAAATGTGGATATTAATCTTCGAGATTTGGTACACGCATAATGTCCTACTCTCAGATTTTTCTCTGCTATTATTCTTAACAATAGTAGCTGTGTGTTCCAAATTGATATGTTCATTGGTAGTGATGAAACTATATAATGTACGTATATAAAATGTATATAAAATGTATAAAATGTATGACATAAACCGTAAATTTTTAGTGTCAATTGGTAGTGAATTTTAGAACATAGCCAGTATCAATTGTCAACGAGTTATCATAGGAGCTTATCATAGGAACGGAGTGTTCCGGTAAATTCTACTTTCGTAGAATTTAATCTGAGGGCGTATTAATCATTCTCGCGTATCTCGCCCTGACAATCACCCCTCTGAAAGTTCTCTTCCTCCCTCCCCCCCTCCTCCGCCCCCGCTCCTTAAAGCTTATCAAATATTTGTAATTTGTAATTGAAACGTGCCTACGTTTGGTTTGTTGCATCGATGATGAATTTGGCGCTATCCTTGTCAGTCCTGTCGTACATCCTGTACAATCGCACTTGAATCGCGCGTATTATGTTGAAGTGGCCAAAAGTGGCCAGAGGTGGCATAGCCGCGCTGCGCCAATGTGCAAGAATATGATGTTAGTGACGGGATAATCAGCGACGATCAGAAGACAGCTTTTATGTCGTTCTGGCTATGTCGTATTTGGTGTGTATCTTTCATATATAACACAATAGCTCATTGATAAAACGTACTAACTTGCTTTTCATTCTTTACGTTTTACTACTTTACAAGTAGTTTTACTCTTTATTTACCTGCTGTGTGTATCTTGAATAATCAGGACTACTATAAGATAAAGAAGGAAGATTTGCAAGTGTTTATTCCCTTGTTATACGTAATGTTCTTTTTCTTGGTGTAAATGCAAAGTGATGATTGATTTATAAATTTTGCAAATTGTATATTATGTTTTTATTTAGATAAATGAAGGATGGGTTGTGTCAATAGCAGAGCAGACATTAACGATCTGCATCCCAACATTTTTCAAGTAATGAACGTAGACGATGATGGTAATTTTGTTTCCCTTGGACGTTTGGAAGTAACCGAAGTAGACATTATATTGTATCAACATGGCAAACAGCATAAATGGCCGTTGCGCTGTTTACGACGGTATGGATATGACCTGGAAGGACTCTTCAGTTTTGAGTCAGGCAGACGCTGTTCTACAGGTCCTGGTATATATGCCTTTAAGTGTCGGAGAGCTGAAGAACTGTTTAATCTTGTACAGACAAAAATTCAGGTTTATATCAGTATATACTATTCCTAATATTAATATTTAAATATATGATGTGATACGTAATATTAAAAGAAAACACTTTCTTATTAACAGGTACGGAATAACAGTGGAGATGATACACTGTCCAGGGACCTTCCAATCCCGTCGCATTCTGCATCAGTAGCAAGTGTGACAATGCAAAGTGTGGAACCTAATTATTTGGACCCAATATCATCTAGAGGTCACAATCGTATAAATTCTAGATTTCCTCATAGCCAACAGAACGGTATTAGAAGATTAAACAGTGTTGGAAGTAGTAGTGGCCCAATATCGCCCCAAGGAACTTTGGGATCACCATCATCACCCCCTATGCTGCCACCACCGCCACCGATTTCTCAACCTCATCCGTCCTCTCTTTATGTCAATGAGGAAGTCTTGTCGTCCCTTCCCATTGAAATGGAGCGCAACAATAATAAAAGCCTTGGAAGGGCAGTACAAAGGTAGCATTATTTGTTTAATCAATAGTATAAAATACATAGGATATGACCACACACGAGTTTCTCGGTATTGTTACAGGTCACCACAAAATGCTTCTACGATCAATAATGCGATATCCATCAGTGGACCTGTGGAAACGGAATTATTACCCATTCAGTGTAATACAGAAATATCCAGTTATGACGCAACGTCACCATTATCACCGACTATGGTACCCTACATGAACATAGACATCTGTAGCGAATCCAACCCAATTTCGCCAACGCACAGTACTTGCGAGACGAATCAGCTCAAAGAAGAGAGTAATGACATAGATGGATTTGGACATTTATATATGAATATAAATCCTGAACAAGATCACACAGAGAACATTGCCATTAGAGTGCGTCCGCCTCCATTGCCCGTCTTACAATCGGACATGGAAGAAGGCTCTAGGCATTGCTATGCTAATCTAGAGGCAAGCGAAATCGAAAGTCTGAGGAAGAGATTCTCTGGCACTTCAATAGCTGAGAGATCGCCCTTGGCACCCTCCACGCCGACGGGATGTCCGATCAGGGAAGTAAATTATGCAGTTTTAGATCTGGAAGATAAGAAAGACACACCCGCCGGCGCATCTGACATTGTGATAAACATTGCTCCCTCTCCCCCCGAATCTCCAAACAAGTCGCAAAAAGGCTATGCCACGATAGATTTCAACAAAACAGCTGCGCTGTCGCACTCTGTTAATCCCAATCTCGTAAATGATAACGAAGGCTGCAGAAAAACTCGTCATAATTCAACGATAAACGACCTGGTAACTCCGTGTAGGCACAATTCAGTAAGTGAATAAATAAATGAGTAGCATATTTTATATAGATTATATCGTATAACGACGTTCGTGTAACGACTGTCTATCGTGTTCTTCGCTGTAAAAAAAAAAAGACAAAAAGTTGGGAATGACCGATTTAGTTTTGTCATAAGCTTCTGGAACTCATTCACAAGTCGTTTGATTACGCGTTAAACATTCAAAATTTCTTAGTACATTGGAAACTACATAGTAGTTGATATCATGAGATATTCTGGTATATGAATTTATACAAATTTTCAGTGCATTTTATCAGAGCAACAGTATTCATACGTAGTCTTTTTTCCAAATCGGAATAAGACAGCATAGAAATTACCGAGCTAGCTTTCAATAAAGCTCGAGGTATTACATCGCGTTCTACATCAAATTTTATTTACATTGTAATACACATTCATGGGTTCTCTCATCGAATTTTTTTTGTTATCGATACGTGTTGAAAACTTTTATATTTTTTATCGCAATGCTTGCAGCAGAGTAATAATAATAATAATAATAATAATAATAATAATAATAATAGTGTTAAAACAGCTGATGCTGAATTTATCAGCTCCAAAGATCGCGCGCGCGATCACACACACACACACACACACACACACACACATACATACACACACACATTTTGTGTATGTGTGAGAGAGAGAAAGCGTTCATACATATAATATTATTTATTTATTAAATTTTGTCGATATTTTAAATATATTATTAATTCAAATTGAAGATAATTCAATTTATAATTCTTAAGCCAGAAATGAAATTATAATACATCCAAGATGTAAACAATTATAAATTTTTTTATGGATAAGTTCATGCAAATGTTAAGTTGAATGTTTATAGTTGTTATTAAAAAATTGGATTTATACCAAATATATCACATATTTATGTTATTAACAATCTAAAAAAAACGTAGATATAATTGCATATATACAACATGCATAAATACAACTGCATTGGTATGCAAAATATGTTGACAGATATGTAGAAAAAATATTGCAAATATATTAAATTACATTGTTTTCTATGTAATTTACATTTCAGTTTTCGTTAACAAAAATTCAATTTGACTTGCTATTCGTGATAATGGCATAGATTGTAATTTGGCATAGATTGTAAAGCCATATAAATAACAAGTTGTGTTAGAAGCCGAATTTTTTTATAAAATGGCTGGAATACTTGTATCATATATCTCTTTAGAAATGTTACATTTTAAATCGCAATTTGTATATTTTTTTTCGTAGGAGTTTCTTAAGTATAAGGCTGATATTACATTTGTCGTACTACAAATTTTTCAAGCATGTTAGTTGGCTATAAAACAAAAAGATCCGAGAACTTCTTTATTCTCTGAACCGAAATTGACAGGCTCGAAAAACTTGTCATACGATATAAAACGGATGAATGTAATATTAGTCTAAAGAATTGTTTATTTGTAGGATAACCGAAAATGCCAAATGTTACACAGACTTATTATTATATAATTAATTTTATGTGTAAATATATGCCTGTTTTCCTTTTGCTATTTTCTGTTTGCATGGCATGAAAATATGGCTATTGGCATGTATACATTTCTGATAATATTTCTGAATTTTTTATTATCATAGTTTTCGATTTGAAAATCATTTGATAGGAAAGCGCCTTCTATCGAAAAGAAAAACAGAAAATCTTGATATTGGAAAAGAAATATAATTCAATTCAAACATTAAAAAAATGGCAATTTTAATAACATTTAGTATTGATAATCGTGGAATGAAAGCAGTATAGTTAAAGATTTTAAAGTGATATTTAGATTAAAGACATATATTAAAATAAAAATGTTGGAAAATATTCGTTATCTATATTAACGTATTCACTGCCATATATGTATAAATATTTAGCAAGGTAAACCAGATGTTATATTTTGAAGTTGCAGTCCTTATGTTATAAATAGTTAATCGATTAGAAAAAGAAAATATACCAAATAATTAAAATTTATGTGATAATCACCACGATGTATAATTTAAATAATTTGATGGCATTAGTTTGAATGTCCCATTTATTATTTATTTTATTAATATCATTTTTGATTATACAGATTTTCAATATTAATGCTTTTTTTTTTTAAGAAATACGCATGAACATTTTCGAAAAACTGAATTAATTGATAATATAATAGTATTTAATAATTTTGAATAAAATCTAACAATAAGATATAAAAGGCTAATAAGAGTAAAAAAAAACTTAATAAAACTCCATTAATCGTTGCATAATTAGATAATTAGTTAAAACTATCATCCAATTATGCAACGAAACAGTCACTTTCTTAATTTTTGAATAATGTATTATACTGCGCCGGGAAATAAAATTTTTTGTACACTTGAAGAGAGTACTAAATATAAGGTCGAAACATGTATGTAATTGTATTCTAGCATTTTAACTTTTGTACTTTCTACAGTTTGATTTATTATTTCTATCTTTAATTATACTTATCTTAAATGATTAATGGAGTTTTATTAAATTTTTTTTACTCTTATTAGCCTTTTATATTTCGTTGGATTTTAAACGATTAAGAGTCCTGTTACTTCACTCTGAAGTTTTTTATTCAGATTTGAATAATTCATAAATAGATGTGACAAAGAAAATGACTTCTTTCATTGTATAGTTTTAAATATCTTTTAATGCAACAAATAATAAAGCTATTTCAGATAATAATCTGTATCATTTTTCCGCGATAAATTTATGAATAAGAATACTTTCTGCGCTCTAAAAAAATATTGTATAATCATAAAAAGAGATGATAGACATTGGTAGTGAATAAGTTAATATGAAACCTTCCTGACTAATATGTAATAATTTTTTTATGACAAAATAGATAAATTTTTCTTAAATAAAGAAATCTCAATGGATTGTTAACAGTAATCTTGGTTATAGTATGAAAAAATTGGTTTAATTCTTCGAATATCTCTCTCTCTCTCTCTCTCTCTCTCTCTGACATGTATTATATATACTAAAATATTATTTAATTATTTAATTTTTCATTTTTTAAATAGCAAAAAGAATTCAGGCCTACAGACTTTTATTAGAAAATATTAGAGAAATGAACAAAAATCTTTCTTATCTAATAAGAAGGAATAATAAAGGACTATTTTCAATTTATTTGTAACGAATATAATACTCATATTATTTATAGAAATAATTATTATTCATATAAAAAAGAATGACATTATTTAAGTAACCTTATCTAGATAAAAAAATCATTTAAACGATCAAGTAAATTAGATATTATTTGAATAGCGAACAAAAATTATATAATATGATGTTCAGCTCTGATATATTGCATAATGTTATGCATATTATATGTGAAAGATTCTATATAATATCTACCAGCTTTACAATTAAAAAAAACCAATGCAAGAAATATATACTGAATAACAATGTGCAATGCTTGGCATAGATAAAAATTTTTATATTCTATGTATCATTACATATCGAATGTGCAAAAGTTTTATTTAAAAAAATCTTGTTTTTTAAATTGATAAAAATATATTAATTTCATTCGTGCTCACGTCTTTAGCTTATGTTTTATAAATATATATTATAATATTGTCTATAATTTGGTCTATAATTTTAACAGAATTACCAGCGTTTAAGTATGTTAAATTAAATACTGTGAATGCGTACGTTTAAGAATATATATTTATCCAAAGAATATATTTTTAAGATTAAACCGTTAAAAATATTTTAATTAGATTAAGGATAAAATGTATAATCGAGCTTTTTATTATAATATCTCTATAGCCACACACACCGTTTTGATAATGTTATCCATAACTTTTTCTTGTGCCAGAATTATTTCATTATAATTGGGGGAGAGATAATTTGATAAGATTAAGATTTTTTTAAATTTAGAAACAATTTAATTAAAGATTGTAATGAAAGAGAGAGAAAGAGAGAATACGTGCGCGCACGCGTATGTGTGTGTGTGTGTGTGTGTGTGTGTGGGTGTGGGTGGGGTTATCGAAAGAAATGAACGTGTTTAATCGAGCATTTCTGTAGAACATATTTTACGAATACAAGTAGAATGTGTCAAAAAGACGCGTAAAATCTGTTTTATAACGATGTTCAGAGCTTAAAGATATAGTTTAGGCTTTTTTGTGCTATATACATATTCTTAAAATGAATACGACCGACAACAGCGATAGTGTCATCACGTCAATCTTCAATATGCAATATAGCAGCCTGTATTATAACTACATACATCGAATTGAATTCCTATTAATACGTGTGTGTACGTAAGTTTGAATGCATGTATAGACATATGTATCACATATGCCATCATATATACGTATGTACCTTAACTACAGGGTGGGCCATCTATTGGTACGTTTTTGAATTTCGTCGTATGGCCACACCGAACGAGCTACAGACCCGAAATTTTGACAGTTTATTAGTCATACCGTCCGCGGCACGAAACAACATGTTTTCTCTTGAAGAGCGTTTTGAAATTTTAAAAACTTATTTTCAAAGTCAGTGCTGTGTCGCCGAAACTGTACGAATTTTGAAAAGAAATATGGGTCGTGATAGAGCACCCACCGAAGGAGCTATACGCAAATTGGTGAGGAAAGTTCGTGAGAAAGGGATGTTAGTGGACGCCATTATATTATGACTGTTTTGAGTGAAATTGGCGCCGAGGTAGTCCAAAATGTCATTAATAATTGGGGTGACCGAATGGCATACTGTAAGGCCAGTAGAGGGAGCCACATGAACGAAATCGTTTTTCATTCTTGACGCGGATACTTTTAGCTTCACAACAAAAAAAAAATTAATAAAAAATATCAATGTATGCTCATTTGATCGCATTTTTAAAAACGTACCAATAGATGGCCCACCCTGTACAAGTAATAATATCATAAGAGCTTCTTATCAATAGGCCATCACAAAAGTTGAAAACGTGTCTCAGCGCTCGTGCAACAGTGATTTCATATATGCCTATCATTTCTTAATTTTTTTTAAATTTGACAAATCCATAATAAATATAACTATTTGTTATATGAAATGCATTTAATGTAATCTCTTAAATGTTATTGTTAATCAAATTAACATTTTATGCGATCGGCCCCGATCCATGTTAGCAAATGTTTCCATCAATTTTTGTGTACATACAACTGCTATAATTTAAAATAAAATCTACATCAATTGCGTCTATTAAAATTTCACGGTTGTGAGACATGTTTTATAATAGATCCATAATGAAATTATCGAAAGGAATCTATAATTTGTACGTTTGTTTCTATTTTATTCTAGTGCGTGTAATAAAAGAAGTCTATATATGAAATGGGGAAGACATTTATTTTTATACAGTGTCTTCTTGATGTTTAAATCAGCACAAAATATAATGAATTACATTATGTACATTATACGATCATTGTATAATATTTATTTCATAATTCTAACACAGCCTTTCAGATGTCATGTGATATTATACTTTGAAAAAAATATTTTTAAATCCATTTATACTTAGCTGTACATACAAATATGCTCCGTTTTACTCATTTCCGCTTCATATCAGATATTATGTGGATTTATAAAATATACACTATGTTATAAAAATCGTATTGTTTCATTTATTAAATCCTATTCAAATAATGATGATAACAATTAAATGTAACTAAATCTTATTAATATACTAATAAAAGATGGCAAGATTACGCACGATGACAACAATAATGAAAACAAAACGATAATAACGGCATTAACTTTTATTTGTAAAATATATGTAGTTATGTATATATATATATA